ACGCACGTCTCACGGCGCTTTAACTCCTGTCGCTCAGTGAGCTCATGAGGACCCAAGTTTTTTGACATTCCCTATGGTCCTTAATAGTCTTGACAAGGTAGCTGCACTTGCATTTAGTTATGCTGCGAGTCCTCAGACTGATTGATAGTGGCTCTTATTCCACCTGAAGCTTAAGGACATAGTTGTCAATTAAAGTTGGAGGTCTTCCTCGGAATTGTTTTCCAATTCGGTATTCCCTTCCGAAAATTTACGAATGGTCATTTATACTCCATTCCCCAAACTCATTGCTGATGTTTCTAGCAGCCTCAGCTGCCGAATGACCAAGTTTAAATTTGTACACGAAAATCGCGTGTTTCCATATTCATATTCGGAGGTACACTAATCTAGTAGGTATACTACTTGGGGAGCTCATCATTTTAAACAAAAGTGGAAGATTAATTACTGCACAGTTGTAATTTGTAAACAATTGGAAGTAAACAACAGAATATCGCTATATCCTCTCTGAATTTCTGAAATTATAAAATCGGACATTTCATGAGAAACTGCCCAATAATGTGATTGTAAAACATTATTTTATTTGGTATCGATAGCCAGGAATTCCTTCACTTTTTTTTGTACTGGTGGAGCGGAATCGTACCATCGTATCATGCTTATATGATGTAGTTCGGAGTACATTCAAGATATAGAAAAATAAGTTTATGCTTTAAGACAATAAACCACACTTGTTGGGAAATTTAGTCGGAATTTTTTGCCGATCTCCGAACCGTGGTAATTAATGATTTAATCTCGTAAGAACTTCAACGTTCAATAACTGCGTGCCGAATTGTAAAAGCTGAGGCAATCTGCTGGGAAGATGAAAAGATTAAATAGAAAATGAACGAAAAAAAGAAATCCCATCGTCATTTTTTAATTATTGAATTAATTAAGTCTTTATGTCTTATCTAATCTAGTAAGCGCATTTTATGTTTCTTTGTATTTTCTTGCACTTACTGAATAAATTATACTCAGTATTGAATATATTATACTCAGTGGTTCTATTCTTGTTTTTCTATTAATTCTTCAGTGTGTTTTAGTTTTAAAGTAACGCGCACGTTGTTTTTGTAAAATTCCATTGGAAAAAAAATCTGAGGGTCGAAAACAAAATGTTTAAATGTTCACATCATTCTAAACGTGGCTTTTTCAAGGCTTTAAGTTGATTGGTTATTGTGTTCGGAACGTGCGCGATGAACATTCGACCCTTATGGAAGTTTCTCGGTTAGAATGGCCCATAAAATCGGTAAATTACACACAATAAAAAAAATAAGTCACAATTCTGGCAAAAACCACATTGCAGATATGGCGTCGACTTTCACTCGGACAGAGTACGGCCGGAATCTCGAGATAAATAGAAAAATAGAGCGGAACAATCAAAATGAAATATGCCAAAAAGGCAATTTACCGTACTCAACTGTTTTTCTACTCTCCTTATCAGTTCGCCATTTTCAGACTACTTTCAGGTCTTGAATATCAACTAGCAAATGCAGTTTAATTTAAAAAAAAAAAAACAGAGATTACTTAAAATCCAATTTACGTCATATACAACCGTTACTCATGCAGAAAAGAACTTGTGAACGACACGGATCTTACTGAGTCTATTCTTGCCGGGTTCCTAAATTACACTTATACGCTTCGGCAACACGCCATCTTCAGTGAGGGATTGTTCACTGTTTCTAATAGGCAAAAAAATAATTTATATGTGAGAGCTACCGGACCAGGTTGATCATAGACGATCACATACATACATCGATACATCTTGCAGACCGTGTTTCATAAATAAAAAATCCATAATGTTCAGCGGTCAGAATTGATTATATGAATTACTTCAATTAATTATTCTTTTTATCTAAGGTCTTGGTCGAGATGAAAGCCGAAGGTCGTGGGTTCGAATCCCGCTCGTGACACTAACTTTTTCTTCTCGACCAAGACTTAGATAAAAAGAATAATTAATTGAAAGGAATATAAAAACAATTTTCATCCAATGGTCGGACTTTGATACATTTGCTTCGGTTTTATAATTATTTCTAATTTTAATATAATGCAGACAATATTTTGGCATATCATCGGACCTGTGCGTAGTCTTGGGGCACTGCTGCGGGCACAGATCGCAGTTCCTTTACGTCAAGGCTACAGGGATTTTTATATGTATATAGAGTTTTTTATGTGTGTTTGTGTTGTGTCTGTGTTGACTTTATGTTAATTTATTGGAATGAATGTAATTTATTAGCGTGAAAGGAAGAGGTTATTTAACCCCGCCCCTTGAAATATCGAGTACTCTGGGGTGAGTGTGTTGAAATATCTCTGGAGGAGTAATGTGACCAGACTTCTATGTTTCTATCGAGTGTTGTGTTTGTGTTAATTTATTGGAATGAATGTAGTTTAATAGCGTGAAAGGAAGAGGTTATTTAACCCCCGCCCATTGGAATATCGAGCACTCTAGGGTGAATATGTGACGTATACAGGGTAAAAGTAAGTTATTAGCGAAAATGAAGTGGGATCAATCCCGCTGCGAGGAATATCGATTACTCTGGGGAATGAATGTGACCAGACATCTATGTTTGTGGTGATGTTTTGTGACATCTGTTTTGTTTCTATTCTGTATTTGACGACCTGAGGTACAATCGAGAGGCTAGTATTTTAGGATGTCGTCCTGGTACACATTTACAAGTAGAGAGTCAGAAACCAGATGGCTGCAGTTTAAAACAAAATACGCGCGAAAGAAAAGAAAAAGAAGGAACCACAGAGGGCCGGCGATGACCTCAGCTGTATGTCGGCCCGTAAACTTTCCACTTTATTATTATTAATATAATGCACAGGGTAGTGCACTCGCTTCCCTCATCTACACAATTTACACTGTTGATCTACCCACTCACCCTAACACTTTCATTTTTACGTTTGCTGATGAAACATAACATTCCAGACTCAAACGTAAAAATTGAAATACAAGATTCAGACCGTTCAAAAGAGTACTAGACAAACGATCCAAACTTACATTAACCAACAAAAACAGACACTATTCTGCTTGCCCCCCTAAGGACATACGGACTTGAACTGTACGGAACCGTTCCGTTCCAATCCTACAAACCCTACAACTAATATTCTTCGATCAATAGTTATCGCTCCCTTCTATGTTGAGCATGTTGTTGGTTGTGTGTTACATTACATTGCCCGAACACTTAAACCCCTTAATCCCCCAATTATCATCACAGCATTACCCACCAATCCTCGTTGGACAACTTAATTTCACAACGTAGTCACTGGACGGACGCCGTTCTTGCGTTCCACGACCTTTTGTGTATCAGTGCATACAACCTTGTGTGTTGACAATTTCAACATTTTTGCTTGTTGCATTTTTAAAAAGAAGTTTTTAAATAAATAAATGCATTTTTTAAAAATAACACAATGTCGTGTAATATGCCATCCAGGAAAACTCCAACGCTGTGGAATTTTCACAGCATAAAGTCGCTTGGTCTAGCTTATGTACACGATTGACAAATCCATCATTGAAGATGGCGAGAAACCGGGCGCGTCTGACAGAACAAGGCAGTGAGGAAACGCAACGACCGAACATCTTGACCTCAAGTACCAGGTTGATCGGAGGCGATTAAGGTCCAACTTTCAGACCAAAACGTTTTATAAATCATGAAGTATTTTTTCTTCCAGGAGTCTGCTACTTTTGCCTGGGTTTTATGATTTTCTCACGCGGACTAAGCTCGCCTGTCAGCCGGCTCGATGAATTTTCCCCTGCATCCGCGGAAATTAAACGTAAATTATACAATGTTTTTCGTATAAAAAGTTTTGTCAAATTTAACATATCCCACTGCTTTTTTTTTATAATCACCTTATCAGTTCAACCATTTGTAAGGCTATTTTCAGGTTTTAAATATCAACTGGCTAATGTGGGCCACGTTTAATTTAAAAAAAGTCCAAAAACGGTAAAACTGTTATTTTCAGACTGAAACAAATAGACACTGTACTCAGTCCGTTCATTCTCGCTGGTTTACTCTCTGGTCCATTCATAATCGTATCGGCTTCACGCCATCTTCAGTGAGCATCCTCCGTTTATGGCAAACACTACGTGAAAAGTCACTTTGAATTGAACGCCATTGATCTTTACTTGATTCTCACTGGGTTCTTAAGTTTCACTCGCGCGACTTCTCGCCATCTTCAGTGAAATACGTGCCCAACATAGCATTAAAATACATCAAGGTCGGTAATAATTCAATTTTAATTCCAAATTTTATTAGATTATTCATGATCAAATTTCAACTCGTTCTCGTCAATCTTCCTATGATCTAGATTATCTATTTTCAAATTTTTTATAGTGTTGTGATTTGACTATTATTAAAAATTCTGATCTGACTAGCTCATAAATTTTGATTGTTTGTATCATTCGTAATTATTACTCTTTATTTATTAGTTTTATAATTATTTATTTTTGTAAAGACATTACAAATTGTCTTGGGTTTTTAGATTTTTTCTCCTGTAGCTTTAAAATTTTAAAATTATATAGTACACAACTGTTACGTTAGGTGATAAAGTTGAAAAATAAATTTCCAAATTTAACTAAAATTGTAGTATCTTTTCACTATTCTGGCAATTATTTTATGATTACGCATTATATTCCTGTCACAATTTATAAAAAAATTACGAAATGTTTTGTAATGATGAGTTTAAGTTTGTTTTGTGTTTTTCTAAAGGGATCTAATAAACCTAGACACGAACGTCTAGAGACGATAGTCTATCATGCTTCAAATTTGAGGTCGGTGGACGAAGATTATGCTCAATATCCGTGAAAATTCTTAAAACTTTACAATGGATGTAAATTGCAAAATTTCACTTTAAGAACCTAGGAAAAAATAGTATCAAAGAAAGATCTAAATCAACATCGACCCGTAAAAATCACCTATAAATCCTTCTTATATTATGATTTTATAGTTATTTAAATAAAGTGGTCGACTTGCCCTGACGTCGGTCTCGTTGGCACCTATTTCGGCTGCGAGTAGTGCCAGGTCCGTTTCGTGTAGTGTCTTCCCCTTGCTGAATTCCGTCTCGAGGGTGGCCTCCTGCTCCAGGGTGAGCCTGGAGACTCGCTGTCCGTGGGTGCGTGCTCCTGTCTTCAGCATTTCCGTCTCGTTAGGCCGAGTCTTCGTGAAGATGTGAGGACTGAGGAGCGGATACGAGGAACGGCACCCTCCCACTTCGCACTACGACCGCCGGACCCCTCCACCTCTGCACCTTTTATCAGTTTACATGCGTACCCTGCGACCTTCTAGCCAAACGGTTCGCCAATATTGATCCTCTTTGGATGAACTTTCGAACTATTAAATATATTTCAATTTACATAATACTTATAATACCAAACTATTTTTTTACGACATTTGCAATAAAAGGGATAATTACAGTTGATCTGTTGACATCATTTGTAGAAATACTGTCATTTATACCTCTGTCTGTGTTCCACCCTATCTATTTATATCAAACAATCTCTCTCTCTCCTCTCTCTCGCATTTTTTCTCTTTCTCACTCTCACACACTTCTTCTTTTCACTTACTTATCAGTTTAACTCTTCCTTCCTCTCACCCCCTTTTCCTTCGTCTCGTTCTCTCTCATTCACTTTCACTACCTTAGTTTATCTTTCCCCCTTCTCTTTTTCTTTATCATTTTCTTAACACTTTCTTGGTCTAGGCACTTCTGCGATTCTAAATAAAACCTCTTTTATTTCTCTCTCTCTCTCTCTCTCTCTCTCTCACACTCTCTCTCTCACTCTCTCTCTCTCTCTCTCTCTCTCTCTCTCTCTCATACTTTTGATCTATCTCTAGTCACTTCTGCGATACTAAATAAAACCTCATTCATTCATTCATTCTCTCTCTCTTTTCTTTCGTTCTCTCTTTCTCTCTTCGTTTCATTTTCTCTTGCTCATTCTTTCGATCATTCTACTTACTTGTGCGATTCTAAATAACACCGCTCTCTCTATCTCTCTCTCTCTCTCTCTCTCTCTCTCTCTCTCTCTCTCTCACTCACTCATTAATTATAAGAGAGGTTTTTTAAATTTGAGTTTTTTTAAATAAAACAATATTCATTCATTCTTTCTTTTTCTCTTTCTGCCAATCCCCTTCTCTATCTCACGCACATACAAATTTTACCCTCTTTCCCCTCACCATCTTTCAGTCACACCCTCACCCTCTTGTTTGTGTTTTCCACTCCCTCTATCTTTCTAATATTATTGATTGGTTCCTTTGTAAGTTTGTCCAAGGAGTTCACTACGGATGGATCCTCAACTCTCTGTGGATTGCCAAATTACGGACCTTACCTGTGCAGCGTTCGATTTTTTGAACAAGGAACATCCTGAAGTTTCTTTACGATTTATATTTCGACAACATTTTAGAATTCTTCCAGGACGTTATAAAACAACTTTATTTGTGTAGTTTTTGAGGTTTTCTTTTAGTTTGTGGTTACACTGTTGTAGCGGGCGTCTGCGGTCTCTCATCCATTGTCTCTTATTATTTTTTCTTTTTTTGTCGCGGTAATAAATAGCATTATGAAATTAAAATTCGTGTTAGTACAACTACACCTACCAAATTATATATATGCGGACGGACTGAAATCATTCCTAACTTCAGGAATGCGTTGATACAAGAAAACAAAATTATAAAGATTTGGACTGGTTTCGATTGGACGAAACGTCAAGCATTACACAGGCATTAGTCATCAGTATTACTGAATCAATTAATTTGTACTCTTTTAGTTTTGGTTAGAGGGTGGTTTGCACATGAGGTATTAATTTTGAAGGTATTGTACATCGCAATTGAATTAATTAAGGTACGTTCTACTTACCGTTACATTGAAAGAAGACAGAAAAACATTCTTATTTTAATAGAACGACCTTGACATTGACTAAATTGGCATAAACAAATAAGCTTATCTAGTCAATATACTCTGGGGAGGGGAGTATTTTATTTTACCAGGAATAAAAACAAACATTTAATTATCTAGCTATTTGAATGTCGCTGGTTTTCTGTAAACTGTAAATAGTGGAAACTTCGGCCGACCTCCAAAGTTTAAAAACCGGGAGTAGAAAGTAGACCGAGATGTAGAGATGGGCGGAATGCAGGACCGTAAAGGTAGAAACATTTCACCGAAACTACTGTGGCATATGTCGCATTTCACGGAGGAAGACGTTCTCTTGACTTTTTTCGAGCGAACCGGCCGACGGTGAAATCGACGCGCTCTTTAATAAACCAACTTAGAAACGCGAGGACTCGTATTCATGTCATGAGGTCTTAAAAAGCTCTATAACCCTAATATACAGTAATTATGCTTAAATGTACTATTTTTCAATGAATTGTGCCATTGGTAAAACGATAAATTTACTCTTTTTTATTGTCTTGTGATTGAAAGTTGTATTATTGGATAAGGTTTGACAAGGCCTTTATAACTTTATTCCTTTTTTTCTTGTTAAAGGCAATCCTTCTCTAAATGGATGATGCTGGGTGTTGGCCTGTGAGTGGGTGAAATCATGCTGAACCGTCATTAGGTCACTTATTGGTTCTCCTCACTACTCGAACGCGTTTCGGCATAGCGCCATCAGTAGGAACTTCTCCAAATGGTTCCAGCACTTTGCACTGTTTCGTCAGTCAACTATGTTGACAGTCTCCCAGGACTTCGATTTTGTAGTTTTGGGGTCCACACTGTTCCATATGGTTAAAAAGCTTTTTTAATGTTCTAACAGACGTCATGACTTCTTTTACTTTTGATTCTTCCATAATCACTTTGCTGTCTTCTATCCTAATCCCCAATACACGTTTCTTCATTTCCTGTTGTGCCAATTTGGACTTAACGTTTAGTTTCGTCATCGACCAAGCTTATACACTACAAATCATACAAAAACATTTTTCCCTTCATTACTGACAGGTTACATATATGTCTCAGTGATCAGTGTTTATCGCAGCACAAAAGTTTCTATTTTTCCCTTAAAGTAGATCAACTGACCTAGGTATGCTGTTAGCCTGGATAAGTTTTTCTTGGCCCAACAATGGCCTTTTACTTTTTTTGCCTTTTTGTCATTAGCTTAATCTTTTTTTTGTTTTTTTGGGACCTGCTTTCTTCCTCTCAATCCCAGGCTAATCAACACGTCTGCCAAATCTTTTGCGAACTCGCTATCATGAGGACATCGTCCGCAAACCGCAGATTCTTCAACCTACTCCTGGTTATCTTTTATACTTCTTGCTTCTGTTTTATCTCTTAACATTTGTTCGAGGACACGGTTCCATATACTTGGGAGATCGGGCCGCCCTGTTTACTCCTTTTTAAAATTAGAGTTAATTACCTCTAACATAATTTACTCTTAAGCTTAACTTTACTAAATGCAGACCCATGCCCCACAAAGTATTAGTTGAAGAAATTCCTCTTGACTATTCCAAAACCCTATCCTACCTGGATTTCTATCTAGCTTTTTATCGCATTATTCTCTCTCTCTCTCTCTCTCTCTCTCTCTCTCTCTCTCTCTCTCTCTCTTTTCTCTCTCTCTCTCTTTTTCTCTCTCTCTCTCTGTTTTTCTCTCTCGCTCTCTCCTTCTCTTTCTCACTCACTCATTCTCTCTGTGTACTCTTCTCTCTCACTCTATCTATCTATTAATCTCTTCTTTTTCTCTCTCGCTATCTCCCTCTCTTTCTCACTCACTCATTCTCTCTGTCTATCTCTTCTCTCTCACTCTATCTATTAATCTCTTCTTTTTCTTCTCTCTTCTCTCTCTCTCTCTCTCTCTCTCTCTCTCTCTCTCTCTCTCTCTCTCTCATAATCAAATATATTAAAGTGAATCTCTGCCCTTGCTCCATTCTCCATTCTCCGCAAATACCGCTTACCGCTTGACCCACGCCGAAAATAAATTCGAAAAGGGCAAGAACACATCGCGTGTCGGCCTCGGCAAGGCCGAGCCCGTTTTGCGTTTTCACCACGCCCGCTGGTCCAAGAAAGCCAGAATTATTTCGGCAGATTTGGCCCTCGCCCTGGCGTGGCAATAGACCTATTCCAAAAATGAAAAAAAAGGCCACCCGGGGGCGAATTGGGGCCCAAGGGCATGGTTCAAACGGTCTGAAGTTCACTAATTAAATGATATACGACCATTTCAACTCAAGGGACACGCGTTGGCCGAGGGCGTGGAAGAAATGTCTAATAAAATGGACAGTTTTATATCTAGTCCGACTAAACATTAAAACTGTCAAGTTGGCCCTTGTTCAGGCCTCCGCCCTGAAATTTGGACTCGGATCAAACCGACCAAACGTTTGTGACATGTGCCAATCATCTCGCAGGAACGAAATCATTCGAAATTACTCTGAAAATGAGTTTGGATATCAAATTTCGACATGCTTAAAAAAAATAAAGCGTCGTTAAAGCACTGAGTTAATTTTGAAGGCGCGAACAAATTCTTCTGGTGTTCACTATTTTTTTTAATAAACTCATGTGGACCTTAGCCAGATTAAATCTACATTTTTCATAAAGAATAACAAAAACTGTATTAGATTAAACAGTTGGAAGTTAAGTAAGCAAGTTTAATAGGTAAATTTATTAGCCGTTTTTTGTGGTGTCATATTGGTTTTATGTGAAAGTGCTGTGCCACACAAAACCAAAAACTACCAACAACCACAAGAATAGCATCACACTTTATGCCCTGAAGATGACCCGAATAAAGGTACACACTATTTAGAAAGAGACTTGATGAATTAGAAGACGTTTGATATTCGAGTGTATGTGCGCTTTCGAGCGTTTACTCAAAAATTCCTATCTGACTTGTTTTATACATTTTTGATCCACTTGACATGCATCTTTATATGGTTTGTGTAAATTTTTATGAACTAAATGTTTTTATTAGTCTTAGCATCTTTTTGATTTAAAATAAATTCTCCTTGTCCTGTATGAAATCTGTTGAGTTTATGCTGTCCTTCGTAGGTGCGTTTATTGTAGAAAACTACATGTAAAAACGTTTGCTTCATAACAATAATGTACGCAAGCCAAATGAAGAGGGATCTCAAACAGACCAAAAAATCATTTGAGTCAGTTATTGGGACCGTCTTCACTCGCGAGTTTATTAACTACTTCCGTTTCGGCTTTGTAACTGACTTAAACTATGATAGTGGTAAATAACATTGGATTTAACTAGACTATTCGTCTCATTTAAAAAATGAATAGTGAAAGGCAATCTGTTATCACCAAATATATACTGTGTCCTAGAACAAGTTTTAAGAGACATAAAACGGTAGCAAGAAGTATAAAACATAACCAGGTGGAAGAATCTGCGGTTTAGCGGACGATGTCCTCATGATTGCACGAGCTTGCACAAGGCTGGCAGACGTGTTGATTAGCCTGGGATTGGGAGGAAGAAAACCAGGACCCAAAATAAACAAAAGGAAGATTAAGCCAAAGGGAGCAAAAAGTAAAAAAACAGTTGGCCCAAGAAAAATTATTCCCAGTCAACAGCATACCTAGGTCATATGATCAACTTTTAGGGAATTTTTTTTACTGGGAGAAATACTGGTCTCTGAGATACATATATAAAGGTATCCTGTCCATATAAAAACAAAAGTTTTTGGTATGATTTTCAGTCCCATGTCTACGATAAGGTGCATTGGTCGATGTTGGAAATTAGGAGAGAAGATAATAAAGTGATTAGGGAAGAACCAAAAGTAAAAGAAGTCGTGGCGATAGTAAGAACATTAAAGTCAAGCATTTGGACTGACGAAATAATAAATAGTGTTGGAACCATTTGGAAAAGTTCCTCACTGAAGATGGCGCAATTGCGTAGTGAAGATACCCAATAACGGACCTAATGCCTGTCCATTATGAGTTCACCCAATTGCAGACTAACACCCAGCATCATACCAAAAAATGTAAATTTAATACTTCCCATTAGCAAGTGAAAAATGTCTATTATCTTATATGTCATCTTCCGAGATTTATATTTTCAATGTTTAAACTGTCCAATTTGATAGATTATTTTAATATTATCATATAATACAACAAAGAGCTGAAGGAAAAAAAGGAGGATGTGGTTCAGTACAAAGAAGAAGTTTCTGCCTTTTAGACGAGCAAAAGTGATTAAAACACGAAATCCTCCAAGAGTAGAGTAGTTAAACTAATTCCTTCATAAACAAAATGAAGCGAAACTCGGACAGCATATGATAGTTGACCCTCTTTAGAAGGGGCCGAGGTGAAAACATAATTGTGGTTTTTCTGGTTTTCTCTCGGGTCGTTTAAAAGAACCCACACGTTCGAAGTGTACCATCGGGCACGACGACTTTCTTCGCGACCGCTTTCGATTTCGGTCCAGAACTCACAAGTGACACGTCCCGTTACGTTGTCATCATCACTAGAGATCATATTTCGATTCGAGTCTTCTGTGCGCGTTTCTCCGTCGCATCGACTCTTCTGAAGGAGTTGCTTGAAATAAATGGATGTACGGTTTGTGTGCAGTTTTCAATTTCCTAGTGGAAATTTAATTGCCTTCTCAGAAGATAAGAAGACCTAAAGCATAGTTTATCTCCTTCGTTTACGTGAGAAAATTAACATGTCCATAAGCTGAGAATTGCTTTTTTACCGAAAGAATTACAAACGCGGTTGAACATGCCTTGATGAAAAGTGCAAATAGTCTCTGGATCAACACCATTATATGCATCTATCTTTTTACTGCACAATCTTTCACCGTGAGCAAATGGTCAAAAATTGCAATGAAGATAGTTAACGTTGAAGTTAATCTTTCAACCATTTTGATGTCCACTACTCTGCGAAGTGTGAAATATTTTGAATTTTGATCCTCAGCATTTCCCGCTGGTTAACTTTGCGTCTGTTTTATTACACCAAAACCGTGCATCCCTGCTTTGCCAAAATAGAACCGTAACGGTCCTGCCTAGGTTTACAATAAAAAATACCAACAAATTTGAAGGGAAACATGTTTTTATTTTGAGATTCTTCTTGAGGTCTGCGGAAAGATAAACTCTCTGTCGTTTATGGCTTATGTTTATGTCATATGGTGGTAACGTCACTTCGACAATGCCTTCTAAACAACAGCCATTGAGCATGTAGCACTCGTCTAGGAGCAAACAGTATGAAAAGCCACAAAAAAACAGGATCCTCTGAACAGCTCTCACTCATCGTTTATTTGACGGCAGATTTGGCTTGCAGCTACCAGGGGAATTATTAGACACTAACGCTTTCTCACCACCATCTGGCTCCACGTCACTGCGGACTGTTTTTCCAACGGGAGTGATCAGTATCCACGGTTCTTAACAGCTCCACAATACTCTGGCCCTTTGTCCGTTTTCATACTGCCTTGCACAATATTTTCTTCGAATGCACCAACAAGTCTATCCTCACTGCTTTGGTCTGACAGACGCGTCCCGGGTAACGGGTTCTCGTCAAAGCCTGATTTGGTCTTTATGTTTCTATGTTAAAAGTTTCGTCGGCAATGGAGGTGTCCAATATGATATATATGACAAACACAAATTATAGTTCATTAGTTGTAGGTTGAAATGGGGAGTTGGTGTCCGAGTGGATCGATGTCACGATAGCTCAAGTGGTTAGAGCAGCGGCGTATTGAGCCGAAGGTCGTGGGTTCGAATCCCGCTCGTGACCCTAACTTTTTCATTTTCAACCAAGACCTTACATAAACAGGATAATTAATTGACAGAAGTAATTTTGTCAATCAGACCACTAAACATAATGAACTAATTATAATTATCAATAATTATAAAACCCAGGGAAATGTAGCGGAATCGGATCAAAAAAACACTTTGGTGATATATTTTACGAAACATTAAGGTGAGGACTGAAAATGTACGTTGATGGTTTCCGATTAACCTGGTCCGCCTGGTGTCGCTACTTTTCTAAGCTGTAAGAAACGTTTCTGTATTTCTTCATCATCAATGGTTGGTCAGCGTGATCTTTTAAGCTTTTGAGTAAGTTTATTTGACCCGGTGGTCTATTGCTTTCGTAAGGCTTTATTTTAACGTTAATTTTTTGAAATTGTTATCAAGAAAACGATGTATGGATTTTTTAGTGTTGTCGAGATCATTTCGCGTAACTTTTTGCACGTCTTTTAGCTTTAAAATTGTGTGCTCAGGGCTATGACATTACGGTTTGGCATAACATTGTATACAGAAAAAATATACATAAAGCGAAAATTCATCGAGCAGTCTGGTAGGCAAATAAAATAAAAAAATAAAAAGTACAAGAAACAAAGCACATCATTTAAAGGAAATTTACCAGGCTACAATGAACCTCAATAATTAGTCAAGTTTAAAGTTGCTTTATGCAATGTTTCTAGCCAGATAGTTATTGCTCTTAGCACTAATTTGACCAGCACTTAGTTTCATTTGGAATGATGTAATGGTTTGTGTGAGATTGCAGCGATGTTTTCTCCTTGAAAGCGAATATTTCATTTTAAAAATAGCATCCGACCACTAAAATCCCTAAATCAGACCTACCGTTAATCTCTGTACAATTTTAACATTTAATACGACAAACGTAATTGTAAAACAGAAAATCTGTATCTGCCTTCTCTTTAACCATCTCTGTCAAATCTGTCGCTTGCCCTAATATCACTTTCTTGGCTTCTTTACTATGGTATTCACATACTCTTTCAGACGTGAAGCAAATGCACCTGATTCTGATAACTTTACTAAATGTTTTTAACCTACTATCATCTGGATACCATTAGTACAGTGTTCCTATGTGATATATACTATAAAAAAAATTTTCATTGTTGAAAGTGAGCCATCGCTCTAAAGAAGGTGGTTGTCTTAAGGAGCAGATCAGTTTAGGTGCAGAAGATGCTTGATTCCTTCTTCTGCAAAAAACAAGATAATGCAGACCGGGATGATCGGAAACGACCAAACTAAAAATATTTTAAAATTTAAAAACAACTAATGAGTTAACCAACAGTGCAGTCCAACATGCCATCCCACTTATTGAACATTTGACATAACCAATAGAGCCGCCCTTAGACTGGTTTAATCTTGTTCGTGTTAAATGCATTCTCAGACGACTGTACTCAAACGGTACCTTATAAATCGGTTGCAGTTAAGAGAACAAAATAGAACAAAAACAAAATAAATAACAAATACCATCTGTCTATCTATCTGTTTATCGCATTCTTTCATGCTCATTCTTTCGATCAATGACTAGTTTCTTCTGCGACTCAAAATACAAAAAGCATTCATTCATTCTCTGAGCTCTCTCTCTTTCTTTCTGTCTCTCTTTCTTTCATGCTCTCTTTCTCTCTCTTCGTTTCATTTTACCTTGCTCATTCTATCGATTAATCTCTAGTCATTCCTGCGTTTCTAAATAAAACCGCATTCATTTCTTTTTAATATTATTGATTGTTTTCTTTTTACTCTCCCATAATACTGAAATCTCTGTTTTTCAAACGGTCTATTAGTGAATAGTCTATTAGTGTGAATAATTTTTCGACGTTCAAAAAAGTCAAGTTGTATATTTTAATGTAACACATAACATTTGTTTAACTTATGAAACAAGTTGAGCAATCGTATTGTTTACTGCATAAAAAAGATACAAAATAAAATTGGGGAAGAAGAAAGAATGAGAAAGAATAAAGAAGAAGAAATAATTTTTCGACCCACTGTAATATTTATTGTTGTTGGGTCGATAGATGAAAAAGTTTATTTATAACAAACTGCACTTAATATTACTTAAAAATTAAATTTAATATGTGCAAAATATATCATGTATTGCAGTTTATACAATTTTGGTTTGAAGTCTCCTGAACCCTTAAAATGACGTCACGAGAGTCAACATAGAGCGATGAAAGCACCATCATTTAACCGGCAATCTACCTTCAAGTAACCTCCAGTCAGTAAACAACTCCTTATTCTCCCCGTTGACTTATTTTTCCGGTTTTGTGCCTTTTTGATTTTCCCATCGAATCGAAAAGATGTCAGCTCCACCGAAAAAACAGACGTTGGGCTATGAGGAGAGCGGTAGCGACTCGGACGAAGATCAAAGCGAGAACGAGGAAGGGATGGAGTACACGGGTGACGAGGTGAGCCACGTGCTCTTGACGGCGGTCACCGGTAATTTTCCAAATCCTTCCCTCCAGTAATTTTGACTGTTTGACGTCCAGGAGATCCAGGTGGACTTCGAAGGCCGAAGCCCGACCGACTCCGACTACCACGGCATCAAGCAGCTCCTGGCCCAATTGTTCCTGAAGGCTCATCTTAACCTGAGCGAACTGACGGACATCATCATCGGCCAGAGCAACATCGGAAGCGTGGTCAAAGTAAATTAACGGTTTATAAATTATAAAATTGAATTTTACCTTTCCCGATCATCCTGGTCCGCCTATACTTGCTTCTTTTACCTGCCAGGCTTTTAATGCCTTCAGTCATCATCACAAACCGACCTATGAAGATGTCAGTACTCCTGGCAAACCATCTAGATTATGGGTTCATCACCCTGCAACTTGAAGAATAAATCTCCCAATTTATAAATTATCTAATCATCTCACAACAATTATAACATTTTACTTTAGACTCCTATATTGCCAGTCTTCAGTGCAAACCCATCTCTGATGGTATAAAAATAATAAACAAAAAGTGCATTGCTGAAGATGTCAGTAGTCCGGGCAAAACATCTAGACTCTTAACTTCAAGAATAAATCTACCAATTTATAAATTATTTAATAACTCACAACAATTATAGCATTTTGTCCTAAACTTCTGATATCTCTAGTCTTCAGCATGGACCTGTCACAGAAGATGTCAGTAATCCTGGCAAAACATCTAGGCCAGTGTTTCCCAATGTGAGGTAATTTTGAAAATAACTCTTCGGATTTTTAGTCAACTATGACCTTATTCTCTTTTGGCATTTATGTGAAAAATCATCGAATAAAGAAGCTTCTATTCACCATGAAATATCTGAATTTATTTGTCGGATCTCGGGTTATTCCAGCATCTCCCACTTTTTTTCACTATCCCATAACAACTGCTGTCGGTATCTTATTTTCACGTCATTTAAAGTAAGGCATTATCGTCATTGCTGGAGTAATTTAAATTATTGTTCGTTAAAAATCTTTGTAAAGTCTTGCTTTTTGACAAATAAATGTTATGCATATTAAATTGTCAAGTTATATTAATTTAAAGGTCTTAATTCTAGAATAATGGCAAAGGATTTTTTTCCCATCTTTGGATAAATTTAGCATTAATTATGCAGATAGATACAAGTTATTCACATTTTTATTAAAAGGAAAAACAAAACTAAAATTTCAATAACTATTAAAATATTAAATTACCATAAATGTAATCTTATAGTATTATATAATTGGTTACCTTGCTTTTATCAACCCCTCTACAGTTCACTCCAAACCTATAAAACATTGAATTGAAAATAAGATGTGGCTTTTGGATTTTTATATAGAAACAATACTGAGCAAATTATAATCCGTATCTTTTTGTATCATAATTTTAATGTTAAATGAAATTTATGAGGCCAAGACCCATAATTTAAAAAACAAACCTATTTAATCGCGCAAAACTTGATGCAAGTGATGATTTTACTTCTGAACAAAACATCGCAATATTTTACATGAAATAATATTAATTAGTATTTTGCTATTTTGGACTAATATAACTGATTTATCAGGGGAAGGGAAATAAACGCAATGAAATAAATTCCAAGAATCTTATTACTTTTTAAGATTATACATGAGGAAAATTGCATTTTATCTGATAATATTTTGTTAAATTTTAAAATTTCATCCAAATTTATGAGAATTTTTTTTCCTTTTTTGAGAAAATAAGGTTTTATCAGATCTACAAATTTCACTGAACTTGAATATTTTTTTACTTTAACTGGATATTAACTAACGTTTGCCAAATATTTTTCAACAATGCACCCGTTAAAGTGCGAATAGTCAACTATTTTGTGAAGAAGTATAATTGAAAATAAAATTGGCCCATTTTAAAAGTACTTCAAACTTAAATCTTAGGTGTCTGTCCCAACAATTTCTTTAGCATCCAACTACTCTTAAAAAAAAAAAATTGAATTTCATCCCCGATTATCTGTTGTAGCAAAGTGGTGCAGGTGAGATAAATGAAGATGATGATGATGACGACGATGATGACTTGATGGGAGTGTTTGCAGTTACAAGCGCTGTTAGCCTATCTTCAAAAAAGGTTGGTTATTAATTTTATCTAGCCAAATATTTTTTTTCCATCTTCAATTTACCAGGGGTTGCACATATATGAATTATTCTTTAAAAAAAGTACCAAGTGTGTGGTCAGTATAGCTTCCTCACATTTTGTGCATGCGCATATGTTAATCCATTTGGAATAAAATTCATAAGGAATCATCTAGAAAGCAACCCAGCAAATTAGATAAGAATCTGACAAACAGTTATAGGGATATAGCTGTTATATGCAATTGTATGTTTATGCATGTGCAGGCAATATGATACCATTGAGACAAATGAAATGAAATTCATATGGGACTATCTGTAAACCAACTCGCATAATCCCTGCAAATTTCATCAAAATACATGTAATGGTTTTTCAGTTTTTCCGGTTACAAGGAATTGACGACATGGAACCAAATTTGTTTATAAAGGTCTGAAATTCAAAGTGCAAGTGCAATTTTGATTTTGGAGGACAAAATTTTTTTCGACTTCTTGCATGAATACAAGGCTTCCCTACTTTCGGTTGTTTGGAAGCAAAAATTAATAGGCTTGTGTTTCAAATTTTAGAAAGTTGAAGTAGTTCAGCAACTGCGGTCATTGCTGGTGGAGCTGAGTTCAAGTCATGCCACGGAGGAATGTAAGACGTTTATCAAAACAGCTATCGAAGATGCAGACGCGCCTCTTGGCTTGATTATAAATGAGAGGTTCATTAACATTCCACCACAGCTTGCTGTGCCAATTCTACAAAACTTAAGGTTAGTTAATCTCCCAAATTGGATATTCTAGTTATAACGGATCGACTATTTCCAGCAATGAGCTTAAGAAGGCTGTCGAGAAGAAAGAGCCATACAATTTCTCACACCTAATATTCATCTGTAAACTGTACAAAGACGAAGAACGGAAAGGAAAGAGGAAGAAGATGCAGGATGATGTCATCTGGTCAAATCCTGAGGAGGAAATCATTGATCAAGTAAGATAAATATTTAGTTTTACTAGTAGTTTATAAATAAAGACAAAATTAGTTAAAATTTCCCCCCCCCCACAAACTTGCTGTTACGTAAGATGTTTGCATGAATAAAGACACGACCGTCAGTGTCCCATTGGTTAAGGTACTGATAGGATGCTGATCACGGCAAGGTAAAGGTCCTGGGTACAAATCCACTGCCATTCTTGCAAACGTTTTTTTCCCAAAAACACCAGCACTACAAGGATTCATATAACCTTGTAGGTGAAATACTTAAAAAAAAATATAAAAAAATCAAGAACTAAATTAATCTTTATTTAGTAGTTTGCAATCATATTAGACTGCATATCCTCTTTGGTTTGGTTCCACTAATATCCACCATCACTACTGATTAATAAAAACATTACATGAATTAACCTTTTTTTCAGATGGCCGACTACAAGTTTGAGTTTTGTGTTAAGGATGAAGTTGACTCCGGTCTCAGCGGAAACTGGCTCTCGGGCGATGACACAATGATACCTTACAGGCGTGTCTTAATAATCGAAGCAAATAAGTTTGATTCCGTCATAGAGCAGATCAAGATAGCCGTCCAACGTTAAAACTATAAAAACCCAACCTGATGGATGTACCATAACTGATGTATATTTTTGTATTACTCGAAAGAAACGACAGCCAATGATGATCCCCCCCATATTTTTATTTAGTTGTTATTTTTAAATTTTATATGTTATAGCATATAAATTTATTTTCCAAGCCTCCTAAGTGTATTTCTAATGATGTAATCATAATAGTCATTCTTTTCAAAATACAATATCAAAAGTTTAATTTTTCTTCTTGTTGTTTAATAGTTTTTTTAAAATTAATTATTCCTGAATGTACGACTTCATAATGAGATCTATCCTTGCCTTTAGGACAACTGTTTGTGCAAACAAAAGGTTTGTTCCAACACATAATCGTAAACCAGTTGCCAACTAATTTGTGATTTATGACTGCATTGGCTGATTGTAGATTCTTAACTCTGATAGAATGCTTTTTTCCAATCTTGAACTTCTGCAGAAATTAATACCAATCCAAGCAGTCAATTGCCTCTCCTGTAGCTTTCTCTTATGAATAGTTTTAATTTTTTTTTTAATAACTGTAAACTTGCTTCATGCCAGCACATTCCGGCTCCCTGCCCAACCAAAACCACACCAAGCCAGCCAGCCATCCTCAAGATATTAAAAAGATTTTCTACACTCTCACCATCATCTGACAAAATCTATCTCAAACTACCCAAAACACCATATGCACCTCCTTCAGGCTGGACCCCACATCGCGTCGGTCTAGTGTAACGTGCAGAGTGATTAGGACAATGGAAGTGAATCGGTTAGTCCTCACCGACTCCATACCTATAAACCGCATGCCCGACTAGTTTGGTTTAGTTTTTGACAGACACGGATCATATGAACTCCAGTGAAGAGTCTATTTTTTACTTTTTTTAAATATTTCGTTTATCTATCTATTCTTTATTGTCTTTTTATAATCTTAGTACAATTTTATATAAAACCTTGTCTCATCGCACTTTAGACGTGGAAGGAGCGAGTGAAATTCCCTCTCCTTCAACACCTCTTTTTCCACACCTCGTGAACCCACATTCTTCTCCTTCTGCAACGATTTCCAATTAGCATCTTCCTCTAAAGCAAGTGCTATCATCCCTAATTCACTATTTTTAAAACTTCCGAATATTTTTTCTAAACGAAACGATGTAGCTTTGATAAAGCTACCAAACTACTGAGTGTGTTGTCCAACATGGTGCAGACAAGTGGGGTCCTCTGTCACCGACTCCGCAAGTCGGCCGACTATCGGACACCATGTGGCACGGGCCCAGTGGGGTCCAGCCTTTAACAGCTCAACTAGACTTCAGACAGTAAGCATACATTTATTAGCGGTTCCTGACAAACTTGGCAGACCAGTGGAGGTTCTCTCGCCATGAAAAAACCATACGTCTGCAATGATCTATTCTGAGGCGAGCTACGATCATTTCTACCTTATTGGAGGTTCTAATGGCAGCAGCCCATCAATTTACATCTTGGGCATTTCATGCCATTCATTACACCAATTTTCCCAAATTGTTCTCTTGATAAAGGTGAGAGTCTTCCAAAGAGACTCGATTTATCCAGACCTGCTGCATCAGCAAGAACATTTTTATTTTATACCATTTTTTTTTTAAACATGAAGATTACTTTGTTTTAAGAAAATTAATTTAAATAAATGATTATTTGGAAAGTGAGATGCTATCTGGTGTGTGTAGCTTTAGAAAAATAATTTCTTTATCTTGCCAACGTTTCGATCTTCGATACGAGAGTGAAAGTGCTGAGAAACATTTGTACGTCTCTAACTGCCAATCCTTAGTAAAATCCTCACAAGAAAATATAAGAAAATAATACTAGGAAGAAAAGAAAGAATTTCCTAGTAAAAATACTAGGAAAATACATATGCATATTAATAAATAAATAAAATGGGTAGCTTGATTGTCTTCAGTCAATTTTATGTTAACAATAATTAAGATTTATGTTTAAAAAAAAGGTTGACAAGGGAGAAATAAAAGAGCAAGTAAAAATTTAATTAAAATATATTTTTAATATTAGGCGACTTCTGTACTTTCATGTTCATCATATTCATATTCGATCTCCACCTTTGGCCTTTTCTTCTTTGAAAGTGGCCTCTTTGATGAAGAGCACGTCTCCGTTTGATTTTCCATGTCCTAGAAGCGAAAAATAAAAATTATGATTAAGAATATATACAAGACTGAAATTATGTTTGCGGCAATTACCTCTATGTCGCTTTCGTGTTCGGAGAGTTCGAAGTCAGAGCCCATTCTTTCTCTGATGCCGCTTTCATCGTCAGACTCCTGCGAAAGAATTTTTCGTTACAAATTGTTTGAAATTTGTTCAAAAGTATGTACTTACATCTTCACTATCGCCTTCAATGTATTCGTCGACTTCTTCATTATCTTCTGTATTCAGCTCCATTTCAAGCTCTTTCTCGACTTCTGTTTCATCCTCCTTTAATAATAATAAATGGAAAAATAAAACTAATGAAGTTGAGACGCTTACAGCGGAGTACTTACGCTTTCTTCTGATTCTTCCATCTCGTCGTCTTTTTCTATTTCCTCTGCTTCTAGGGCTTTGTCAAATACGGTTTGCGGGAAATTATAAATGTCTCCATACTGTAAAAGTGTTTTTTTTTTATAAAATAATATTTTCATTAGTTGAACAATCATACATTTACGAGTTTTGCAATAAATAAAATAAATTAGTAATTTGTGCTTTGTTCACATTTTTGAACTTTTACATTATTCATTTCATGTTTAGAAGGCCTAAATATAAATGCAATAAATTTACTGAAATGGCATACTTCCATTGTTATTTAACTAAGAAAAATATAAGTCAGACAGTATAAAATAAACTGCTCATCAAAAAAACCTGACCACCCAGTCACAAAAAATGGCCACTTTGGAAATGCATATTTTCTAAGCCTTTTAAGTCACAGATCTACACTAGGTCTCAGTTTTTAGAAAATTTTACGCAGTCCAGACCTTAATTCCATCCCCATTGTGGGGCAAATCGCATGCCTTGTCACCAGGTACTGATGCTGGATTTTTTTTTTTTAATTGAAAAACCCTTAAAAGTAACATTTTTACCCCCCCCCCAAAAAAAAAAGTAATAATTGTCACTTCCGTTTACTTTTTGAAAAAGTCCTCGGAACAAAAGTTGTAGTGGAGCATCAAATTTGCGAAAACATGCCGGTTCAAAATTTATGCATTCTTAAAAATCGGGAGACGGAGAGAGAGAGTGAATGATCGAGGTTTTTTTTCCCATGAACACATAAAATCCATATTTTTGCCCAAAAATCGGGAATAATGTAAAACGGCTGAGAAATCGGGCAAAATAGAAGGTGACCAATGAAAGCTTATTAAAATTTCCTATTGATTGCTATAGGAGGCCTCACCAAAGGCGATTTCCTGGCTCCACAGCTCAATTTGAAGTTTTTGTAAAATGTGCAAAAATTAACATTTTCCCGAATTTTTGAATTTACTGATGAATGACTGAAGCTAGGAAAACATTTAATAAAATCATCTTTTTCAGTGTATTTTCTTAAAAAAGAGACTTAGTGCACTTTTTTGTGTCCCCCAACTACCCACTGGGTATCATGAATTAGGGGTCATACCACTTCACAGCATACATAATAAATTAAAAAGCTAGGATTTGAACCCCAGAACCATTAGAATGGCAAATACAAGTCAGACGCCCTAACCATTCTGCCACCGTGGTCCCGAACACCGAGTACGTGTGTGTACATTTTTAAATGACAAAGTCCCTTATAATTGGACAGCAGAACGAAAAAGAACTCAGAATTCCACAAATGACTCTTATGTTCTTGCAAACAATGTGTCAAGTCAGCACTTGCTAAGTTAGTTCGTTGTAAAACCAATTAGGAGATGAATCCAGGGGATGAAAAGAAGATTTTTACTGTCAAAGGAAATGTCAAAGTCTTTAAGACCATGAGTAAAAGAAAAGAAGGGTACGTACTCTTATTCTTCTTTAATTCATTTTTTACTTTTACTTTATATACCTAATACATATTTAACAAAAACAAAAAATAAATAAATTTAAAAAAAATTAAATCCTGGGAGCCCGCTTACATTTAGTTAAACTGTATTTGTTGATAACTTGACTAGAAATCTCGATAATGCTTAAAATTTAAATATCTATTGTTAGAAGAAAAAAAATTGTCGAGAGAGATTGGAAAAACAATTTAAAGTGAAAAGAAATGACGTCTTTTCCTTTTTGACTTTATCTAAAAATACTTAAAATACAATGGAAATCTGGATTGTATACATACATTTATGAGTAATGATATATTTATATGCACATACCGTTCCTTGTTTCAACCTCTCGACGAGCTGCTTCTCGATGGCCGAATCAAGCTGTGCAGCAATCAGCGCCTTTTCTTCCCTGCGTCTTGTTCTCCTTTCAATCTTCCTCTGGAGTGGTACTATCTTCTTCTGCCGTCTCAGCCTGAGCTTTCTCATACGGATCAAATATTGCGTGATCTTCACAAACCGCTGTTTACATTTCGACCGGATGAAGTTGGACCAGAAAAGGAGGTTTTCGTTAATCTGGTGAATCGCTTTGTCAAAGTTTCTCGACAGTTTGACCCTCTCCCATTGTTTGTCAGGAAAGCAAGCGCTGAAATTATGAAAATATTCTAAACTGTGTTGTTTCTATTAACACTTCTGTTATGGCTCTGATTTGTAAACTCTCACAAAGGACAGGAAAATTTTTAATAAACATTTTTTTCTTTAAAATCATCAAAAAATTTTTCCAAATGGTCAAATCAAAAAACGGTTAGGGCAGCGGCATATTGAGCCGAAGGTCGTGGGTTCGAATCCTGCTCGTGACACCAACTTTTTCTTTTCAACCAAGACCTTAAGTATTATTGCAGGGTTAATGTTGTGGGACCAAAATAAATTGAAAATAAACAAATAGTTAAATTATGGTGGTTGAATGTTATTACCGTTCGGCAGTTTTCAAATAAAGGTAGATGATCCCACCCTCCTCTCTAACGGTGGCATACTTGCTGTTTGCCAACGGGCACGACAACCTGGAGCAGAGACCAGTCAAATTGTTCTCATTCCTACAAAACTGTTGGCCCTTTGTGCTAAAACACAAAAACAGTTTATATTATTTAATTGTCTGTTCGTTTACCCTGTTCGTATATGACTACTCACTTGACTTTAAACGAACAGAACGTCCTGTTGATGATGCCCCAAACGAGCTGAAAAACATACGATTTCTTACTGTAATCGAACAAATTGTTTAAAAATTTTATAAAACTTTTTAAAACTCACATCATCCTGGTTCATCATTTTGGACCGTTTTTTGTGGTCTACAAAGAGTGTAAATAATGTACTGTCCCCGGGAAGAACACGTTTTCTACTTGAGAGGTTACAAACTGGTTACCCGGAATTATATCGATTGTTCTATACTGGAATACAATTAATAATTATATCTTAATTAATCATATTAGATGTGTGTTTAATTCATAAACTTATTTAATAAGTTGTTAAAACTGTTGTGACTTAAAATAGTGAATAATAATTAAGGATAATTTGATATTTGAATTTAGTCATTAATCAACGTTGAAATTTTGTTAGAATTTAAATCTTTTCATAAAATTGATTGCTGAGATAATTTAATGTTCATAAACGGTATGTTATTAATTACAAATACATTATTAGTTATTATTCTGATTTTTGATGTTTTGCTTGGCCAGCAGGAGGAATGAGGACCGCCCCAAATAATTACAGACGTGAGGTTTTACATTTGTTATCCCTTGGAGTGTTGACGTGTTAGCAAACGTTGAAATCCATCGGCGGCGTTTGTCAGATCTAGAAAAAGTGTAAAAATACCATAAAAACCGGACCTCCTCGGGCTGTAAAAACTTGTATAAACAATGGCGATAAAACGAGATAAAAAGGAGGAGGAAGACGGTAAGCGTCTGGTGGTGTAGGCGTACTGTCAATCTGCCACTTGCTGATAACAGGCCCAGTCCCGATACGAAAATGGCATTTAAGAGAAAATCTATGGTTTCAGGTGCAAACCCATTCCAGAGCATGGACAAGACGAGCGTCCTCCAGGATGCGAGGACCTTCAACGAGACTCCGGTCAACCCGAAGAAGTGCACGCCCATACTCACTAGGATCCTGTACTTGCTCAACCAGGTGAGACATGCATCAAGGTTGCGAAGAAAGTGGTTACATTGCATCTGAATCCCTATGAAATTTACTGGTACAAATCCCTCAGAAGCTAATAAACACTGTTTTTATTAGGTTGTTTATTATTTTGTGACCCTTTGGATCAAATCGACAGTGTAGAAACCAGAAAGGCGCTGATGTTCAGCACAAGTAGTGTCCAGAGTATCCCCAGTGCCTTTCCGGTTTCCCCACCGTCGATTTGATCTGAAGGGTCACAATTTTTTGTTAGGATGTTTCAATAAGACCAAAATTTTGTTCATTCAGGTCAAATAACCTATTATGTTTCAATGATCATTAATATTCACTATTTTTCATGGTCCGCTTGACCAATTAATATCATTCAATTAATTAAGGTTTTAAGTGACAGTCCAAATAATACCAGTCTTAGGTCATGCCATGGCGTATTTAAGGTATTCCGGTGTAAGCAGCGATGAATAATCTCTATATTTGCTTGCTTTTCTCTAAGTAATAAGAGAGTAGTAAAAGCTTCGCTACTTATTCTTGTGAGGTTCTAGGATTTAATTAACCAGAGAGTATATAATTCGAAATTTATTTTAACACACTGCTGTCTTTTAAATATACACAAACAACACAAAATCTTAATCAATTAGCCCCAATTATAAATCAGGGATGAGTCTATTAACAAAGGGACACCCTAAATGACACTCACTACGACAAGTGTCCACAGCATCCCCAATGCCTTTCTGGTTCTTCCACTGTCGATTTGACCCAATGGATTGTAACGGTTGGTCCTTGCTGGCTCTGGCTAGCTAAGTCTTTTAAATGTATAGAAAATCGTAATTAATGTAAAAAGTCACTCGTAATTCTAAATCAGGGATGAGACTATTAAAAAAAGGGACTTACACCAAATGACGTTCACACGACTAGTGTCCATAGCATAGCATCCCCAGTGCCTTTCCGGTTTCATCACCTTTTTAGTGATCACCCCCTTCTAATTTACATTCATTTTTCTATGATCGTTTAAACTATTTTTTTTTTCTTACTTTAATAAGTACAACTTATTCTACGATGGGGACTGGCTTACACCTTATTTTATTTAAAAAAAAAAAAAAAGTGATGGCTTGCTCTAGGTATGGAAGAGAGAAAAATTTTGCTGGATAGAATATACGCAGCGAAGGGTATTATTACACAGGAAAACTACAAAACCTTGCATCTCTTGAACAATGTAGAAATATATATTTTGTCATAAGGGTGATAAAAAAAGTACATTAAGTCTTCACATTTCAAAACAACGTTTATTATCTGCTTAAAATCCACAAAAGGGGTGTTGGTGGCTGCAATAGTTTAAGCACTCATCAGTGCTTAAGGTATAGGTCCAGTATATAAGTTAAGTTAAAGGTCCCAGCGACCCTGCATTCAAACCCAATATACTTACAATGAGCTTTTTTTTTGTTCAAAAACACCAGTACCCCATGGGTTCATATAGTCTCGTTAAAAAAAATCTACAAATTTGGTAACTAATTGTAAGCCAAAGCTAGATATTCTCATTTCAAAGCTTGCTTACTCCATAACAATCTAATGTATGTCTAGCCATGAGCACCACGGTGCCTTGGGTGCCACAGCTGCGCAGAGGGGCGCCGCAAAAATTTTCTATAAAAATGTTATTATTATTCTTTTAACTTTTTCACTAGGGCCAAGAAACATATCTCATGTTGCAGAGATAGGTATACCAATAATTTTCTAAATTGGAAATGAAGAAAAACAACTATTAACATAAAGTTTGCCCTTAGATAGCAAAATTGCAGAAAAATTCTGATACATTAAGGGTGCTGGAAACCAAAACAGTTTTAGAATAGCTGGTTTAGACCACTTGTCTCAATTTTTGCAACCAACTATTGTCACATTCAAAATCCAACTAATAATTCACTGGGCACTGAGAAGTGACTAACTCTAGAGTTACTGACTCCTGAGCAACAGACCAGTATCAACTTAACTCCATCAACCGCTCTCTACTCTGTAGTCTTCTCAACCACTGACTCACCAGCAACTATCCTTCTTATAGCACGAGCTGTTTGTAAACCTCCCCAGACGGTTTGTGGTTTTGTCTTACCCGTGGAAACAACTATCCTCTGGCTTCAATATTTTGCATATTTTGAGCTTTTCTTTCGAGGGTGTTATCAAACATCCAAGGAAGACATAAAATGTGTTTCTTTGATTTTTACATATCCTCATTCTAATCATTCAATACAGTTAATACAACAATCTTTTCACAATTAATTATTAATTAATTACACAACTAATTATCTATTTAAAAAATAGTCTCCTCACAACGTTTGGAAATAACCAAAAATTATTGAACCCTATGTGAATTCATCAAAAATTCTGAATATAAAACAAAATTACAATTACAATAAAAAAGCCATACAATTAAATCTCATATTTCTGATTAACAATTTTTATTTTTCCTGATAAATTTTTGTTCTTGAAAAGATAGTCTTCTCATGATCCTGCCAGTGGCAATGTCCTGTCCTCAGAGCCAATAATAGCAATAATAACCAAGTTTTTTCTTCTTAAAAAATAGTCTTATGCCAACATATGTGTACTAGACTTTGTTTATCTCTGCAGGATAATGGTATAGGATAGAAAGGAATATTCGAGGGCGTATTTGGTATAGTAGAGGTGGTATTGGGTGGGTGTTCTGAGGGTGGTTCAGTCACGGAAAAGTCTCTACATAACACTTCTGGAACCAATTTGGACAAGCGGACTACCAATATCCAACCAATTCAGCTTTTCTAATCTAAATTCCATAGAATCATAGTCATAGTTATGTCTCCAATACCAACCAAGAACCTCAAAATACCTTTTGTCTCAATGTTGTTTTAATCCCCACCAAATTTTCTAAATTTTAAAATAAACTTCCCATTCACCCCAACCCATTAGGCCAATCCATGTCCAAAATAACCCATCCCTATTATCCCTCCAGATGGCTAAAGCTGAGATGGCCTCGGGACCTCCTCGCCAAGGACTAGTCCTTGAGTAAAGTTGGGAGAACAACAAAAATTTCCTCTCAACTAAACTCCCCTCAACATATTACTACTATTTTATATTACTTTATTACTATTATTTTATACAGATTTAATAAATATTTTGTAAAAAAAAATAATAATAATAATAAAATAAAAAATGGTATTATCAGTTGACAATGTATTGCTTCAAGCTGGTTGTTTAGGTTAGAAATATAGGATTAAATTGTGTTGATAGGGAGAGCAACTTGGTACGACAGAGGCAACTGAGACGTTTTTTGCCATGACAAAGCTTTTTCAGTCAAAGAACGCCGTCTTAAGAAGAATGGTCTACCTTGGTATAAAGGAACTGTCCACAATAGCCGAGGATGTTATAATAGTGACTTCGAGCCTTACGAAAGACATGACAGGAAAGGAAGACCTGTACAGGGCTGCTGCCATCAGGGCTTTGTGCAGCATCACAGATGTAAGCTGTTTATTTAGTCATCTTATTAGCTTTTATTTAAAATCTGTATAAATTCTAGGCGACGCAGCTTCAGACTATTGAACGATACATGAAACAGGCTATTGTTGATAAGAACCCGTCGGTTGCAAGCGCTGCTCTTGTGAGCAGTCTTCACATGAGTAAAATTGCAGGTGATGTCGTCAAAAGATGGGCAAATGAAGCACAAGAAGCTACCAATTCTGATAGGTACTTTTTCCGTTTTTCCTGAGGAAATGTGTCTTCAGTAAAGTATTTAAATTTTTTATTCTTTTTTTTTTTTTTTTGCTGCAGTGTAATGGTACAGTATCACGCATTGGGTCTTCTTTATCACATAAGGAAATCAGACAGGCTTGCTGTCTCTAAGCTTGTAGCCAGACAAACTAAGTCACGTTTGACGTCATCTTTTGCTGCCTGCTTGCTTGTAAGCCAAAAACATTACATTCAGTACAAAATATGCCATGGGGAGTATTTTAAAAATTGTGTTATTTTAGATAAGAATTGTTTGCAAGCAACTTGAGAAAGAAGGAGGGGATTACGCGGATTCCCCGCTTTTCAATTTTGTCGAGTCGTGCCTTCATCATAAGTCGGAAATGGTCGTTTATGAAGCTGCTGCTGCAATGGTGAATCTCAGGAATACGACGGCAAGGCAGGTATCGCCTGCCGTGAGTGTCCTTCAGCTGTTCTGCGGTTCATCCAAGCCAACACTCAAATTCGCCGCAGTCCGGACACTCAACAAGGTCGCCATGACTCACCCACCGGTCGTGACTTCTTGCAACCTCGACCTTGAATGTCTCATCACAGATCAGAACCGTTCTATCGCAACCCTGGCCATCACGACCCTACTGAAAACAGGAGCCGAATCTGCAGTCGACAGGCTAATGAAACAAATTGCATCATTCGTATCAGAAATAAGCGACGAGTTCAAAATCGTAGTCGTCCAAGCGATCAGAGCCCTCTGCCTCAAATTTCCCAGGAAACACAGCACCCTTATGACATTTCTGTCAGCGATGCTCAGAGACGAGGGTGGCCTTGATTACAAAACTTCAATAGTTGACACCATTATAACAATCATCGAAGATAATCCTGATGCCAAAGAAATCGGCCTAGCACACTTATGTGAATTTATTGAGGACTGCGAACATGTCAGTCTGGCTGTTAGGATTTTACATCTGTTAGGAAAAGAAGGTCCTAAAACAGTACAGCCTTCCAGGTAATTTTTAAAACCTGAATTTTACATCCTAGACTAATTGTTTAATTGTATTTATTTTCTTTCAGGTACATACGATTTATTTACAACAGAGTTATTCTTGAACCTGCGGTTATTCGGGCTGCTGCGGTTTCAGCTTTGGCACAATTTGGTGCTCAGAGCCCCGACCTTCTTGCCAACATATTGGTAAATCACCAATAAATTAAATTCACATTTGACATAAATACATAATCAAATACTGACTTATTTAGGTGCTTTTGGCGAGATGTCAGATGGATACAGACGATGAAGTCAGGGACCGTGCAACATACTACTACAACATTCTGAATAATCAGGACAGACTTCTAATTGTTGAATACGTTGTCGAACCAATCCAGGTTTGGATTCTTTGAATAATAAAAGTTATGAACATTATTTTTATTCTCGTTTAATTTTATAGGTTTGTTTGGTTAGCCTGGAAAAAGCTCTTGCACAACACCTAGCTGAATACCCGGAAGAAACATTTGACATCAAGTCTGTTCCTCTAGCACCAGTTGTGACTTCTGAAGACACTCAGAATACAAGTCAACCCGAAGGACCTCTTAGTACTAGTAATTATATTAATACTATTATATTATTATCACAATATTTACATAAAATGGCATTAAAATTGCTACTTATTTTACTTTGAATGTAATCATTCTTTTTTAGTTTAACATTCAGGTTCTTTTGATATTTAAGAACATTTCTCTTAGTTCTTTATCCTGTTTTGTTTGTTGCATAATAATCACTATGTAATTTGTTCAGGTGAGACTACTACAAAGAAATACAGCAAATCTGTTCATACAAATTCCCTCACCGCCTGCGCAGAGAAACTGCGCCAAGTTCCAGAGCTGCAAAACGTTCCTGGACAGCTGATCCATATGTCTGAGCCAGTCGAACTTACAGAATCTGAAACAGAATATGTCGTCACGTGCATCAAATACTGCTTTCCAAAGCATATTGTCTTTCAGGTATTTATAGAAATCAATATCGCTTTCTTCATTTAAAAATCGTAAATGTTCGATTTCAGTTTGAGTGCAAGAATACTCTCAATGATCAACTGTTAGAAAAGGTCTACGTGCAACTAGAACCTCCAGAAGGGTTCACAGTTTTAAGGGAAGTTCCTATCCCAGTCCTACCATACAATGAGACACACAACGCTTACATTGTCATGGAATTTCCTGAAGATATGATGCTGTCAGTTAGTAAGTGTTTGTGTAAGTTCTTTTTTTCCTTCTTTTTTCCTAATTTTTAACTGTTTTATAGCCTCACTGAGTGCCGTTTTGCGTTTTGTCGTCAAGGATTGTGACCCAGCTACTGGCGTTCCAGATTCAGATGAAGGCTACGATGATGAATATACAGTAATTTAAACATTATTTATATATAGTATAGTTCAAATGTATTTTTTCCCTCTTCTTTCATCATTCTGGAGCGACACCCGTATATTGGAAATGCTTATTTTAACGTTCGGGAAAAACATCTGTTTATCGGGAAGGCTTACTTCTTCGTTCTGGAAAAACACCTGTTTATGGAGTAGGTTTACTTCATCATTCTGGAAAATGCCCTTTTATGGGAACACTTACTTCATCATGCTATAAAACACCCATATATTGGGATCGCTTACTTCATCGCTCCCGAAAAACATGAATATATGGGAGGGCTTACTTCATCATTCTATAAAAACATGAATATTGGGAGGGCTTACTTCATCATTCTAGAAAAACATGAATATTGGGAGGGCTTACTTCATCATTCTAGAAAAACATGAATATTGGGAAGGCTTACTTCATCATTCTGGAAAAACGCCCATATATCGGGAAGACTTACTTCATCATTCTGGAAAACACCCATCATGGAGAAGGCATACTTCATCATTCTGGAATGTCGCTCATAATGAACATTTTACACAATGCCAGGGAACAGGATTTAATGTTAAAAATTTGATCTTGAACACTAATTCTAGTCGTAATTGTCCACAGTCCGATCTAATGATAGAAAATCAGTACTGATTGATGGGTGGTACAATCATTTTGCAGTTTAACCTTACATTGAGAAGTATAGCGCCAGATTTTAAAAGAAAAATTTCTAGTAAATAAAATGTATAGGGTGTATTTTGTGTGTATAATTCTTTTCAATATGATCTATTGGTTCACACATTTCTTCATTATTTGTTATTGTACAGTATGCTATTTAAATCTCATTTTAATTTTTTTATTTGCATAAATAAATGTAATTCAATTTTACAGCTTGAAGATATTGAAATAAGCTTCAAGGATCAGACGGAAAAGGTGGACCTGGACACAGAATCGTTTGAACAGATTTGGGAGTCGTCCATGGCCAACTACCACCAGAACGAAGGCACGTACTGCCTTCCGGGAGTGTCCACCATAGACCAAGCACTGGCCAAAGTGGTCCCCTTCCTCGGCCTCTCTCCAGCAAGCTTACAAATGAAAAAGGCCCCAGAAAAGACGTCCCATATGCTTTGCATTCCAGGTACTTGTGTTATCTAAACAAATATTTTCAGATAAATACTTAAACTTATTGATGCATTCTCTGATTATTACCTGGTAGGCCTAACCAAGAGGCTAGATTTGCAAGGTTGAATTTAAACTATCTGTCCTTGGCGAGACAACTTTTTTGCATTTTATATTAATTGGGTTTCTTTTCAGAAACTAGACAACCATCAAACTCATTTTCTTTGTAATTTTTGTTCATTGCAGGGATTATTTTGCTCTTTTAACCTTCATTCACATCTTCTTACCATGAATGATGGTACCGATTATTAAATAGTTAGACATAGGTCTGAAGAAACTTTTTCCCCCCTAAACTTTTATACATTCAATAATTATATCAGTTTTACAAAAGTTAACGTACTTAATCGTTTTTAATTGCATTGAAACAATTTCAGCCTGTAATACAGTTAAAAAATATGATTTATTATAATAAATTAACACTTACCTTTTTTTTTAGGTATCTTCCGTGGCAACATTACGTTTCTGATAAGGGCAAAGTTGGTTGAAACAGGCAACTCTGTATCGATGCATCTCGTAGCACGAGCTCCCAATGAGGATCTCGTCAATTTAATTTGTGCAGTGGTTGCATAATTCTTTTATTATTAATTATTATTATTATTAATTTTGATGTTTTATTTTACATAAATATATAAGAAGTGAAGAAAAGATGTACAGATCAAAAGATAAAAAGATGTTATAAATATATTGGTTTTTTATATGTAAAAACATTGATAAACTTGCTGATGGATGAATTAAAACAATAAATAAATTGTATTAAAAATTTAATTTAATTTATTTATTAAAATAAATTATATACACTTTTTTTAAATTCAATTTGTATAGATTATTCTTGAATGGTGGAACAGCCAGATCATTGTAAGACTTCTTTTAATTTCAAAATATTTTCAGCTATATAACATGCGTCTTCTTCAGTGCCGGTCGGTATATTATATCAGTGTGCTAAATAATACCTCCTAGCTTTATTTATATTGAATTGTTAAAATAAAAGTGTCATATTTTCTAGAAGTGGTCAACCTATATCGTGATCCTTTCCTTGCTGGTTTGGTCTGCCGTACATGTTCAGCAAGCAATAGGTTTATTAATAAAATTTGGTAAACACTTATTTTATATAACGTTAGATAATGAGAAAAATTTGTATTAGCAGCCCGAACCAAAAGCTGTGAGACGAGGTAATTCACATTTGAATATGTGTCTTGAAAAGCTTCATCACCCCGCAGATAACATCTCACAACTCATTTGCTCCATTCCCTTCGTCAGAATATGAGAAAAATCCTAGGTAATATGTACGTATCATACTTGAATACCACAAACAAGGAAACGTACTGTTATAATAATATATAATAAAAGGTAAGATAAATTTTAAAATTAGCTTTTTCTATCAAATCTTCTTTAATTTCAAATTTTATTTTGCAATCTTACATCTAATACCATCAACTTGTTTTTGTTTTTTTATTTATAGAAATGGTTAATTTTAAATTAAAAAGTATTAATTTGTTGTTAAAAATGATTAATTTGAAATTAAAAAGGGTTAATTTCATTTATCAAAGGTTAATTGGATACAAAAGAAGGCTAAGTTAAATTTAAAAAGAGTTAATTTGATGCAAAAAAGGAGGCTAATATGAAATGAAAAAGGTTAATTTGATCTAACAAAATGTTAATTTAAACATAAAAATGGTTAACTTGAAAAAGTTAAAAAGTGCTAATTTGAATTTAAAAAGAGATTAAGTAGAAATGAAAAAGTGTTAATTTGATTTAAACAAGGTTAATTTTAAATTAAAAATGGTTAATTTGTTGCAAAAATTAAAAAAAATGTAAATAGAGATTTATTATTAAAAAAGGTTAAACTCTTGCAAAAATTAAAAAGTGTTAATCTGAATGTAGAAAGAGATTAATTAGAAATGAAAGAGTTAATTTGTTGCAAAAATTGAAAAGCGTTAATCTAAATGTAAAAAGAGATAGTAGAAGTGAAAAAGGGTTAATTTGATTTAACAAGGTTAATTTTAAATTAAAAATGGTTAATTTTAAATTAAAAATGGTTAATTTGTTGCAAAAATGAAAAGCGTTAATTTGAATGTAAAAAAGAGATAATTACAAAAATCGTTAATTTGTTGTAGAAAAGATTAATTTAAAATTTAAAAAAAGTTAATTTGATATCCAAATTGTGTTAATTTGATGCAAAAAAAAAGGTTAGTTCAAAATGAATCACGGTTAAATTGATATAGAAAAAGGTATTTTGAAATTAAAAAGGTTAATTAATGCTAAAATTAAAAAAATGTTATTTGAATGTAAAAAGAGATTAATTATAAATGTAAAAAAGAGTTAATTTGATACAAAAAAAGGTTAATTTAAAATGAAAAGGATAATTTGATCTAAAAAATGGCTAATTTCAAATTAAAACGGGTTAATTTAAAAAATTAAAAAGTTATTTTGAAAGGAAAAAGAGATTAATTAGAAATTTAAAAGGGTTAATTTACTGCACAAAAAAGTTAATTTAAAATTAAAAAGGTTAATTAATGCTAAAATTTAAAAAATGTTAATTTGAATGTAAAAAGAGATTAATTACAAATGTAAAAAAGAGTTAATTTGATTTAAAAAAAGGTTAATTTAAAATGAAAAGGATAATTTGATCTAAAAAATGGCTAATTTCAAATTAAAACGGGTTAATAAAAAAAATTAAAAAGTTATTTTGAAAGGAAAAAGAGATTAATTAGAAATTTAAAAGGATTAATTTACTGCACAAAAAGTTAATTTAAAATGAAAAGGGATAATTTGATCAAACAATGGCTAGTTTTAAATTAAAACGGGTTAATTTGCAAAAAATAAAAAGCGTTATTTTGAATGTAAAAAGATTAGAAAATGAAAAGGGATATTTGTTGTAGAAAAGATTAATTTGAAACAAAAATTAAAAATTGGGGATGTGTTTAGACGAATTTAAGAAGGGGTGTTTGGGTTGAATTTGTGCGGGCGTTGGTTCGTCGGGGCGAGATCGAGAAGGCCGAGGGAGCGGTGGTCAGCCTCGAAGGACTGGGATCCTCGAGCAGAGTGGGAGCCGGGTCGAGGAGCCAGTTTGGTCGCCGTCGCCATCCGCACCGAGTGAAGTCGCCCTCCGCGGAAACGCGCACGCCGAACGCAGTCGCAGCCGCCGCCGATCGCGAGAGGCCGCCAACCGCCCCCGCCTCCGCCTCAAGCCGCCCCTGTCCGAGCCAGCCAACAAGTGTCGTCGTCGCCATTTTCCACCACACCCCGTTCGACGTCCCCCAAGTCAAAAGGCACTTTAATGGGAACGGGTCGTTCTCGGCCCGGAGAACGGGAAATCGTTCAAACTGGAACTCATGGAATTGGAGAACATCGTCGCCAACACCGTTTATCTCAAGGCGAGGGAAGGTGAGCCGCCCATTTCACACACCTTTCTCACCTCCGAACGCTCTCCGTCCGTCCTACAGCCAGCCGCGAATCGATAGCAACCACTTTTTACCACAATTCTCAGAATCCGACCCTTTTTGAAAGGACAAGGTTTTTTTTGTAAGAGTCGCGTCTCGGACGAACGGCCGACGCTCGTTGCCCGTGTAGGAAGTCGGCCGAATGTGGGAAAAATCACTTTCACCGCGTGAACGAATCGCCCTCTTAAAATGGATGTTATATATATATTTAAAAAAAGGTCGAACCGCGTCGGCTTAATTGTCGTTTCAATTGTTCTGACCTCGGGGGCGCGTTCGACCCTTCGTCTTCGGCCCCCGCGCACACGTGGCCTCGCCGCCTACGCCGCCGCCCCCGCCCCCGCGTGTTTACGCGCCGCCCCGACGGACGGCTCGGACCGAAGTCAAAACTGTTGCCATAGAAACGGTGCCGATTGTCCGCCGGCGAAACGAAGTCCAGGCCCCGAGGCAAACGGAAAAAAAATCAATTTATTTTATATAACTTCGTGACAGTTAACAAACAAAAACAAACCACTTCTTTCGTCCAAAAATCATCAAATCGTTAATTAATATAATGAAACTCATTCATCCACTTGAATACAAATAGGCTTTATTCTGGGAAAATATTTACAAATAAACATACTTCAACATAATCCCATTAAACGGATTTCAATGGCCATTGATACTTCAGTTAAACCAGAATAAATCACTTCTTAGTATTTACCTCGTTGAACATCGTTCCTGTCAATATTTTAATAATACAATTGTAATTCTGAACATTTTGGTCTTCCCCCGGTGACAGACCCATCACTGAAGATAGAAGAACGAAACACATCTGGTAGACCAAAACAGCTAGGATAAGCAGACCAAACAGTTCTAAAAAGACCAAACTAGAGGTTCATTACTCTGCTGAACCCCCAGAATACACACAGTGAAGCTAGATGGTTTGATCATTTTGTAATATTTTGGTCTGCCCATCCATGCTGCTTGGGTTTGTCAGATGCACTTCATCTTGCCATCTTAATGCTGTGTCTGTCATTGGAATGAAGGATTTAAACAATTTGAAAGTTTAACAAGTTTTACTAATAATAGTTTTGGATTGTGCCCGTCATGGAAGATGGGGAGAACTGAAACACATTTGGTAGACCAAAACAGCTAGGATAGGGAGACAATGTTCTAAAATGACCAAACTAGAGGTACATTACACAATAAATTTAGATAGTTTGATCATTTTGGTCTGCCTATCATTGCTGGTTTGGTTTGTCAGATGCATTTCATCTTCTCAACATTTTTAGTGCTGTGTCTCTCATTGAAATTGAAGGATTTAAACAATTTGAAACTTTTAAGAAGTATTCACCAATAATAGTAGTGGATTAAGGTGCCTGGATGATAGACTTGTCACAGAAGATGAGGAGAACTACACATCTGGTTGACCAAAACGGCTAGGATAAGTAGATCAAAATGTTCTGAAAATGACCAAGTTAGACGTTCATTACCCTGCTGAACCCCCAAAATACACACTGAAGCTAGATGGTTTGATAGTTTCTGAACATTTTGTTCTGCCCAGCCTTGCTGGTATGGATTTTCAGATGCGTTTCATCATCTCACCATCTTTAATGCTAAATGCACACAGTTTGAAACATGAGAAGTATTTACCAATTGTAGTCGTGGATGAACGTTCTTATGGCTAGGATAAGTAGACCAAAATGTTCTAAAAAGACCAAACTAAAGTTTCATTACTTTGCTGAACCCCCCCCCCCAAAAAAAAAAAAATAAAAAAAAATAAAGCTAGATAGTTTGATCATTTTGGTCTGCCCATCCTAGGTGTTTTGGTTTGTCAGATGCGTTTCATCTTCTCAACATATTATTGCTGTGATTTAAACAATTAGAAACTTTTCGAAGTATTTATCAATAATAGTTGTGGATTATAGTGCCTTGACAATAAATTGACAGACCTGAGAACTGTAACCCATCTGATAGAACAACACAGCTAGGATGGGCAGACCAAAATGTTCAGAACATGACCGAACTAGAGATTCATTACCCTGCTTAACCTCCCCCCCCCCAAAAAAAAGAGAGAAAAAAGCACAATAAAGCTAGATAAATTGATCCGTTTTAAAAAATTTTGGTCCTCCCATCCTTGCTGGTGTGGTCTATCAGATGCTTTTCATTCGTCTCACCATCTTAGCGCTGGGTCATTGAAATTCAAGGATTTAAACACAATTTGAAATTTTTAAGAAGAATTTACCAATAATAGTTGTGGATTAAGGTGCCCGGTTGACAGACTCGTCGGGGATGGTGGGGAGAACTGAAACACATCTGGTTGACCAAAACGGCTAGGATAAGCAGATCAAAATGTTCTAAAATGGCCAAACTAGAGGTTCATTACTCGGTTGAACCCCCAAAAAACGTACAATAAAACTAGATAGTTTGATCGCTATTGAATGTTTTGCTCTGGCCATCCTTGCTGGTTTGGTTTGTCAGATGCGTTTCATCTTTTTGTGATGATGGTGCTGAATGCCCACAATTTGAAACTTGAAAAGTATTTATCAATTACACTTGTGGATTAATGTTCATTCATGATAAAGTGAGAGATCTGTCACTGAAGATGGTGAGAAGCTCCAAGAGTTAATCTCACAGTAAAGTTGCATAATTTGGTCATTTTAGATTATGTTGTTTTGAGTCTATTTGGTGCATTCTCACAATTTTTAGTGGTAGGTTTGGCAACAAAACAGCGAGAATAGGCAGACCAACAATCTCAAATTACTAAACTATAGGTTAATACCCCTCCTATTCAAAATCTAAGAGAAAATCTCACAATAAAACTAATAATTTGGTTGTTTTTGAACTTTTTAGTCTGCCTATCCGTGGTGTTTTGGTTTTTCAATCTTTAGTGTTGAATGTGTTCAATTTCAAATTGAAGACGTATTTGTAAATATAGTTATGGATGAAGGTACCTTGATGATAAATTGTCTGTCATTGAAGATGCCGAGAAGTCGAAATGTGTCTGGTAGATTAAAACAGTTATGATGGGCTGTCCATAACATTCTGAAAATGATCAAACTACAGATTTATCAGCTTGCAGAACCTAGAGAAAATCACACAATAAAACTAGATAGTTTGGATGTTTTTGATCTTATTGTTTTGGGTCTATTAGAATGTTCTTTGTATTTTTAGTGGTGGGTTTGGTCATGGCAGAACAGCAAGAATAGGCAGTACTGAAAATGACTACGGTTCATCATCTTGAAGAACCCAGAGAAATTCTAGTAGAAATTCAATTCAAAGTAGAAATTCTAGAAATTCAATAGAACAACTTAGTTGTTCATTTCTTATCGGTTTGGCTAGAAACAAACAGCAAGAATAGGCAAACCCAAACGTTCTGAAATGACCAAGCTACAGAGTCATCTCCATGCAACACCCAGAGAAAATCACACAATAAAACTAGATAATTTGGTCATTTGTTCTTTGTATTTTTAGTGGTGGGTTTGGCAAGAACAAAAAGTGAGAATAGACAGATCAAAACAGTTTAAAATGACCAAACTGCAGGTTCATCACTCTGCAGCACCCAGAAAAAAATCACACAATAAAACGAGATAATTAGGTTATTTCTGTTCATATTGTATTGGAAATATTCAACATGTTCTTGCTATTATTAGTGGTCGGTTTGATCTGCCTAAAATAACGAGAATATGCACACCAAAACGATCTAAAATGACCAAACTACTGGTTCATAACCTTGATAGTTTGTTAATTTCTGGTTATATTGTTTCGGGTCTGTTAGACTTTAGTAGTGGGTTTGGGAGAATAGGCACACCACAATGATCTGAAATGAAAGTGCAGGTTCACCTACAGACCCAAGAGGAAAACAGTGTAGCTCTGGTATGAAAACTAAATGATTACACAATAAAGTTCAATTCAAGTTGGCAAAATGAATTTGATATATATTTTTTTTATTTAAAGATTAGATGAATGCTTCTTAGCAATATTTTGGATGTATGAATGATATGTCACTGGGAAATGTCACTTTGTTCCAAGAGAACTGTGATGTCTTCAAAAATTCTTGTTGCTGCCTGGTGGTTTAAGCTCTTTCTTTGTCAGATAAATTGTCTGATAATTGTACAGCTACAATTTTATCTTAACTCGTTGCGTGATGTGGGTGTTCACCTTGGATCCTTTCTGCCACTTCTTCAATTTGAATTTATGATTAGGTCAGATTTTGTTCCATATATTGTTTAGCTCAATTGCCGGAATCTCTTTCAATGCCAATGCAGATCACGTCCTCGTTTCAATATTGATATCGTAAATAAATCATAATTTGGAATATTTTTATCAGTTGACATATTTTGAAATTAACTTTTAGCCTTTCGCTGGACCAGGGTTTACCACAATATTTAGCATTTTATTGTGAATTTCCTGGGATTAATTTCACCAAACCCCTATATAAATGTCTGATGTTTTTCAGTGTAACAAACCTTAAAATTTCATTCAAATTGATTGAATGTGCTGTGAGCAGTAGCAGCTTTTTTTGGTCATTTTTTCCCCATACTAAACACCATTTATTTTTAGGAAAAATATTTTAATTGCTAATGCATTTTGTCCTGGGTCCCTCTTCAGAACTCACTATTTAGCTAAATGGAACTGCCCTTCGGATGTGGCCCGAAGTGCATTAGTAATTAAAATATTTTGCCTAAAAATAAATAGTTAAAAAAAAAATGTTTGTACCAACATATTATTGGGTTGTCCGGAAAATAATGCAGGATTTTAAGTTTTCATTAAAAAAAATCTATATAAAATATTCTGTTTACGTTTACAGGATTACTCATTTGTATGAATGTCNTATTTTGATTAAAGAACATTGCTTTAAAGTAACTAGTTTCTTTTTTTTTGTTTAATACCAAAATCCTGCATTATTTTCCGGACAACCCAATAAATTGTAATTAATAGAAAACACACACACACAAAATTTTC